AGCACAGAGTCCTATGGAACCCCACTGGAAGCAGAGTTCTAGTCACAGAAACATCTCTGCTTCCTGCATCTCAGCTGGTATTGGATCCAACATGCCCCTTTGCCTTGAACCCAATGCGCTCTTACTTTCTTGTCCAGTCTACCATGAGGAACTTTATCAAAAGGCTTGATAAAATCCATGTATGTTTGAAAATTACTGTAGGGCACCTGATATCTTCTCCCTTGCCTTCCTCAATAGCCTGCGATACATTCCATCTGGGCTTGCTGATTTATCTACTTTTAAGGCCACTAAGCACGCCAGTACTTCTTTCTCTCTGCATTATTTTCTTTTCATATTTCACAATCCTCCAACCTGAAGCTCATACCTGTGTCATCCTTTTACATTTAGTGAAGACTGACGCAAAATATTATTGAGGACAATGCTCACTTCTCTGGGTCCACAAACAGATTGTCACTACGGTTGCTAATGGGCCCTAGTTATTCTTTTGCTGTTTATATATTTTTCAACAGAACACTTTTGGGTTTTTCCTTTGTTCCACCAGTGCTTTCTCATGAACTCTCTTTGCTTTCCAAATTACCTTTTTGATTTTTCTGACTCCACTTTTTATATGCCTTGACGAACTCAGTCGTATCGAGCCCCCTCAGTATCTACCATAAGCACTCCTCTTTTTTAAATCCTAACTTTTATGACCCTTGACATTCAGGGTTCTCCAGTCTTGATCCTACCCTTTATCTTTATTGGAACATGTTTTCCCTGTCCTCTCACTATTTCCTGCTTAAATGCCTCCCGCAGACTCAATTTGAACTGCAAGTAGCTAGCTCTAAGTCTACTTAGGCCAAATTGTATCTTGTCTAAGTAAAATTAGCCTCTCACCAGTTTGCAACTTTTATTCCCAGCCCATCATTATCCATTTACATAACTATCCTAAATCTAACTGAGTTACGGTCACTATCTCCATAATGCTCCCCTACAGATACACCTTCCACCTGATTGGGCTCATTGCTGAATATTAGGTCCAGAACTCCTCCCTTCCTCATTGGACTTTCTATGTACTAGCTAAAAAAATGTCTCTTGGATACAATTTAAGAATTTTTTTCCCTTCTACTGTGCATACTAAAACTATCCCAGTTAATAGTTGGGTAGTTTTAATCCTCTACTATTTCTGCCTTATTATTCTTACACTTCTCTGAAATTTGATCATGACTTAGTGGTTAGCACTGCTGCCTCACAACACCAGGGACCGAGTTCGATTCCAGCCTCGGGAGACTGTCTTTGTGGAGTTTGCACATTCTCCCCTTGTCTGCGTGGGTTTCGTCCGGGTGCTCCGGTTTCTTCCCACAGTCCAAAGATGTGCCGGCTAGGTGGATTGGCCATGCTAAATTGCCCATAGTACCCAGGGATGTTTAGGTCAGGTGGGCCAGACGTGGGAAATACAGGGGTAGGGGAATGGGTCGGGGTGGGATGCTTTTCGCAGGGGCGGAATGGACTTGTTGGGCCGATGTGGACTTGTTGGGCCGAATGGCCTGTTTCCACACCGTTGTGATTCTGTGATATTTGATCATTTCTGAAGAAGGGTCTAGGCCCGAAACGTCAACCTTCCTGCTCCTCTGATGCTGCTTGGCCTGCTGTGTTCATCCAGCTCTACACCTTGTCATCTCTCTTGTATCTCTCCCTGACTGTTTGGGACCCTATGGTACACACCCAACAGCATGTTTGCCCTTTTTGTGTATTTTACTTCTACCATATGACCTCATTTGATGATCCAAGATATTCCAAGATATCATCACTCTTCACTGCTGTACTTGACTCCTTGATCAATATTGAGAAAACCTCTCCAAAATGGCACCTCCTGCCGGCTTCTACATCCCTCTTTATCTAATCTGAATATCCTATAACCAGGAATATTGAGCTGCCAATCTTCCTCATTTTTCAGCCCAGTCTCGGTCATAACTAAGATATCTTAAACCCAGACACTTATCTGTAAGATCATCTTGTGCATGTAGCCTTGCTAAACTCGCATCTTTTATGTCTGGCCTATAATTCTTCTGCCTTCTAGATTCACTTATTCATGTTTTAATTTCTAATTCATTCTCAGCTTCTCTTCCCTCTGAATTCCTTTCAGGATCCCAACCCCCTGCCAATATAGTTTAAATCTGCCCCAAAAGCATTAGCAGCTGAAGCACCCACAGTGCCGTGGCTTTAGCTCTGACTGACCTTCATAGAAGGAACTGTCACTCTCACTGTTTTCCAAAGGCCAAAAAATGGTTTGCACACAAGCTGCACTGGATGGATTCCCTCTCTGCCTGCATTCCTTTAAGCTGTGGGGTGCCCACATCCTGAAATGTGCTCTCCACAATCCTCTCAGCCCCATAAACGCACTGTGATTCCCCTAGGTGGCACTCAAACTTCAAAACCGAGAGCAGCAGCCAGAGGTATCTCCTGAATATATGGTCATCCAGACTGCCAGAAATGTCTAGGATTTTCCACACAGTGCAGCACTGAACTCAATAAGCATGCCTTAACTAAATAGAATATGGAGCCTTGAATATAGACTAGAAAAATCTTATTCTTGTTTTTGTCTTGGGTCCCACACAGGCCTATCTGCTTCTCTTCAAGGGTCCTCACTTCATTTGTCCCTCTCAGTGATGCCAGCTGCTTGTCACAAGTTCCTCAGCTTGCCCGCTTCCTCTCAGTGATGCTGATTGCCTGTCTCATGGTCCTCACCTCGTCATTACAGTCAGTGATGCTGACTTCCTGTGATAGCCTGCTCCTCTCCATGGAGAATGTTTGCAGAACTCTGAGGTACAAGACGACCTGGGTGTTGTGGTAACTTATCACTGTAAGTTAGGAGGCAACCATTGCAAATGATCAGGAAGGCAAATGAAGTGTTGTCATTCATTGTAAGATCTTGTGGTGCAGTGATAGTGACTGCTTGGCCAGAAGCCCCAGGCTGCAATTCCACTTATACTGGAGGTGTGTCTTAACATGTCCAAGCAGGTTAATTACTTTTATTTTTCATTGCTACAGTTGTATAGGGCACTGACAAGACCATACCTAGAGTACCGTTTAAACTTTCATCTCCTCTTAAAAAGTGATAAAATTGCATTAGAAACAGTTGAGAAAGTCCACTCAGCTGATTCCTTGGATAAAGGGCTGATCCTATTAGCAACGATTGGACATGTTGGTCCTGTACCTGTGGTAATTTTGAAGAATGAGAAGTCATCACATTGAAATATATATAATAATAATGAGGGGACTTGCCATGGTGGATACTGAAAGTATGGTTCCACTTGTCAGACAGACTAGATCTAGGGGATAGTTTAAAAATAAGGGATGTATTTAAGATGGAGATGAGGGATTCTTTCCCTCTGAGCCTGGTGATTTGTAATAACATCTCTGAAAAAGATGCTGAGGGAAATATATCTGATCTGAAAACTGGTATTCTTGTGCCATAGTGGTAGTGTTCCTACCTCTGAGCCAAGAGATCCTGGTCAAAGTCCCACCTGCTCCAGAGCTGTGTAATAACATCTCTGACCAGGTTGATTTGAAAATACATCAAATCTAGAAGCCACACTCAAATCAGCTCATGATTCGGCCACTTTTGGAGTATTGTGTGCAATTCTGGTCTCCCTCCTATAGGAAGGATGTTGTGGAGAATGTTGCCAGGATAGGAGGGTTTGAGCTATAGGGAGAGGCTGAATAGACTGGGGCTATTTTCCCTGGAGCATTGAAGGCTGAGGGGTGACCTTATGGAGGTTTTTAAAATCATGACAGGCATGGATAGGGTAAATAGGCAAGGTCCTTTCACCTGGGTGGGGAAGTCCAAAACTAAAGGGCATAGGTTTAAGGTGAGAGGGGAAAGATATAAAAGTGACCTAAGGGGCAACATTTTCAGGCAGAGGATGTGCAAAGATGGAATGAGCTGCCAGAGGAAGTGGTAAAGGCTGGTATGATTACAAAATTTAAAAGGAATCTGGATGAGTATATGAATAGAAAGATTTTACAGGAATATGGGCCAAATGCTGGACTTGATTTATATAGGATATTTGGTTGGCATGGACTAGTTGGACCGAAGGGTCTGTTTCCGTGCTGTATATATCTACGACTGTATCAATATATGCAATCAAATTCTTAGTTTTCAAAAGCTTTTATTGCTTAACTGCTTAGAGAGTTTATTAGTCAGTTTCAATACAAGGCTGACAAAAGGACTGATGTATTAGTACTCCACTCACCTGGGCAAGCCAGCATGATTTATTGTTTTCATAATTCACAAGGAAAGCTTTCAAGATAAGCAAGGGAAGTGGGTCATTAACATCTACCAGTATATCACTAGGCATTACAGAGTAAACTGGCATTTGTATGTCAGTAAGCAGAGCTCAGTACAAATGCATACCAATGCAGAGCTTCAGATTAGGCCTCTACTTCACCAAAGAACTATGCTATGCTTGTAGTATAACTAACTGTTACTAATGGTCATCACTCTAAGGCAGATTTCTTTTTAATTTATTCTTTAATGGGATGGGATATGGACAAGACCAGCATTTGTTGCCCATTTATAATTGCATTTGAATTGAGTGGCTTACAGTGGTCATTTCCAAGGGCAGTTAAGAGTCAACCACATTGCCTTGTGTCTAGATGACATTATGGGCCAGACAAGTATGGATGGCAGATGTTCTTTCCCTGAAGGACATTAGTAAATGAGATAGGTCTTTATAAAAATCAGTGATAATTCTGTGGTCACCATTACTGAGACTACTTTCATCTTCTAGCTTTAGCATCAAGCCAGTATTTGCAATGCAATAAATTCAGTGGTTATTTCAAGAATTTTATCCTATATAAGAATATATAAGGTGTTCTCTGCAATATAATTAATAGAGAAGGTCATTGAGAAGAAAAGACAGAGAGAATTAAATATATGGCTTTATTAGTGATAGCCTACACCAAGCAATAGGTTGCAGACTAAAGCTGTAACATCGAAGAATTTTCAAACAAATTGCATAATTTTCTTACATAATTAATATTGATTATGTGTTCAGTCTTTATTGTGGATTTGAAATCATATTTGGCTGAACTAGTTGATGAAAGTTGAATATTGCTTGAAAAAAGCCTGGGCAGTTAACTATCAATCAGGTTGTTCCAATCAGAGTCTTGCCAACTTGCCAACGAATCAGGACTCCTTTCATCTAGGTCAGTTTAGGATATCTGATCGGCGCGGACGAGTTGGACCGAAGGGTCTGTTGCCATGTTGTATAACTCTATCACTGTATGACTGTTGGTACCATGCAGAACCATTATTAGTCAAGAGAAGATGAGAGAAAATGTGGAGAGTATAAAAATAATAATTATTTATACTTGTGTACATACTAAACCATGATTTGGGTCAGATGCAAAAGCAATGATTGTTTCATGTTTTTGCTCATTTACAAATGTGAAGATAAAAAATTAAAATGTTGAGTATAAACAATATGAACAGATACCTCTTGAAATAGATTGAGGATGCTGTGGATATCTAAACTCATGAGCTACATTGATTAATTTTGTTTTCAATGAATGAAATATTATTGCCATTGGCAATTCTTATGCCTCCAGAGATCTCAGACAAGTATTAAATCAAAAACACGTTTAGTTGTACTCCAGTTCCATTCTCCTGTCTTTCATTCAAAGCTAACATTACTCATAAAAATGAATTGAAACAGCACAATCTTTATCACAAAATTAGGGCACATATTTTATGTGGTCAAAGCAGTACATTTCCTGTTACAATTTAATCTACTTAAAGTTGCATTATTTTTGTCACTGAAAACTAAATCAACAACAAGAATGTGTTAATAAACTAATGTTGTCACAAACAAATTATTTCAATTGCGATTTGAAAGAACCTGGGAACAGAAAGAAATCATTAAACCCAATTTGGTTAGATCATAGTTGATCTGTATCTCAACTCCATTTACCCGTCTTGGTTCCACATTTCTTAATACCCTTGCCTGATAAAATTCATTAATCTCAGTTTTGAAATATTTTCCTAGGCTCAGAAATTCTCCAGTGGCTGACAGTGTTCCAGATTTCCACGATCCTTTGAGTAAAGAAGTCATTCTTAACATTACCACTAAATACCATAGTTCTAATTTGAACATCATGCCCCCTGTTCCATCCTCCCCTAGAGGAAATAGTTTCTCTCCATCTGAACATGAGAAAGCTTACAAAACTCCTAGAGTTCATAAGCAAACATCTATTAGAAAACTGAGCAATATAAATTTTGCCTGAATACTTTTGTCCCATTAAATGTGTTATTTTCCTCGGCTGACTTTCTTTACCTAGTAATTCTGACGTCCTTTCCTGAATTGGAGGGCAAATAGTGTGGTCTATCCCCAAAGGAACAACGTTAGTACAGCTTTATCAAGTGCTTTGAGGTGCTTTAGTATAAAACTGACTAATTGTTTTGGTGTGCAGATACTTTTAAACAACCTGTTCAGATGTGTTATGACACCACTGGAGCAGGTAGGACTGAAAACCGGGCCTTTCAGATAAAAGGTAGAGAAACTACCGCTGCACCACAAGAGTCCTATCCAGTAGAACTGATTGGATGCAGTTTGTCTCTAATTGATATTAAAGAGCAAACTGAGATAAAATCAACTGAAAACAGGTTTAGGTTAGTCAGGACCTTGAACCTATTCTGCTGATATACACCTCAACTCCATTTACCTGACTTTTCACCAAATGCCCTGACATTTTTACCCAACATAAATCTATCTAGCTCCATCTTGTATGAGCATACAAATTAGAAGTAGAAGTAGGCCGTGCGGCCCTTCGTCTCCATCATTCGTTAACATCATGGCTGATCTGTTTGTGTTCCGAATCCATAGTCCCATCTACCCCTGGTCCTTCCACACCGTTACAATTCTGTGATTTTGGAAGTCACACTGAAAGAGAAAAAAACCCGTTATCTCCGTCCTAAAACAGCAATCCCTAATTTTAAAATATTATCCCCCCATTCTGGACTCAACCCATAAGACAAAATATCTTTTCCACTTCCATCTTGTCAAGACCGTTCAAGATCTTCAGTCAAACTATGAACTTCAATCAAATCATTCCTCACTCTTCTAAACTCCAGTAAAAACAAGCCAAGCCTGTCAAATTCCAAATAAGCACCAAATGTTTTGGCATCCATAGCATTTTTAGGGGGAAAGAGCTCCAGATTATCCTTTATGTTTGAAAAGTGTTTCCTGGTTTCTCTCCTGAATGGCCAAGTTCTGTTTTTAAGATTGTCCCATTGCTCTTGATTCCCTCACCTGAGGAAATAGTTTATATGTATCTACACTGTCAAATTCCTTTCACATTTTAAACACTTCTATCTCCTATAAACAAGAGAACGTAAATCAAATTTATGCAACCTGCTCTCTTAATTTAGAACAACTAAGCCTCTAAAAGTGAAACGGAGACAAAAGAGAAAATATGAAAGTTGAGTAATGTTTATGCAAGAAGCTATTCTAAAAGCTGGCAAATTGGAAGAGACGCATTGATCAGAAAGAAAAATTAAGCATCAGACAGATGGAGCAGTAAAAATGTAGGAACAGTAAAGTGAATGCAAATAAATTATTGTTCTTCTTCTGCTGCTATGGGTTGACTTGAGATCCCAGCAGCAACAATTGCAAAAAAGATCTCTGGGCAGAATGTTCTCAAATAAACAAATGCTTTGGGCACTGGATTTCCAATCATCACCTCCTTGCTGCCTCTGTTCACCGTGTACAACACTTCTTCTGCTACTTCCACTGGATGCACACCATATGCCCATTTCCTGAAAAAAACTAAACATATTAAAACAATTAAACATGGGACAAATTAACATTTCTCCCAAGCTTATTTCCCAAGATTTACCCATTGCCTCTTCCCTAATAATTATAAAATGATTATCTTTCAATCAAGATTTCACTTGTCTGACCTGTCAGTTTAGTTTTAAAGTCACATGGCATGATTCAATTCAGTGTCCTGGCCAATTTTCCTCTAGGTCATCAACTGCTAGCTCAAAGAAAATAATTACCTTTCTTTATAATATAAATTATACATTATTGTCCATTGTATTTTCATACATATGTTATTACATTTCAAAATGGTTCATTATAATTGAAGTGCTTTCAGATTTTTCTCACAAACATCAGATTGTATTAAATAAGCCCAAGGAAATGACCTCAGCTTCAGTGAAATTCCAAGAACACATTTTAAACTGAGCTTATCTCAATCATTCGCAAAGGCAACAATTCCTACCAAATGTAAACTGGTTTCAACCACCCAAAGACTTAAACACACCTGGAATTGCAAGATACATATCAAAGAAATGCTCAAGCAGACAGATTTTTTAATTCTTTTTCAAAAGCTTGAGGGTCTGTTTTAAAGTTGTTGAAGGAAGACACTGAAACTTACATTTCCAAATGGATGCCTCCCAATTCCCAGCATCTGGCATTTGGTGATAGGAGCGAATGAATGTTGGGCTCACAGTGCTCACAGTGATCCCGAATTCTGCAACTTCAGCCCTCAGACAATCAAAAAAGGCTTGCATTGCATGTTTAGATGCTGCATCTACACAGAAACATATAAGTTCTAAGTTTGTTGTATATTCTAACAGAGTATTTGTAAGCAAAACATCCTGCCATAAACAGGAACTGTTATCCATGAGTTGTTTTACACTTATTGCGCAAAAGTTTATTTCCCCCAGTGAGTTATGATGATCTGGAATGCACTGGCTGAAAAAGCAATGGGAGTTAGTCTATGCTCGACAAAGGAAAATTTTCAGGATTTACGGGAAAAGATGGAAAGAAGTGTGACTAATAATTGCTTTTTCTAAGCCACTATAGGTTGAAGATCCTTATTCTCATTTGCATGATTCTATCATATAATTGGAAATGAACATCACCCTATTTAGAGTGGAACATTACCCTCTCAGGCATTCATGGGTAACCTATACTTTGAACAATTAAAATAGAGCTCCCACTGTCCTCCTCAAATGTGAAGGTTAACCCCAAAATAAATGTGCTACTTTGTGCTAAGGCAATTAGCTAATGTGTACTAGGATTTGGCTTTAGATTACTAAAACCTGTATAATTTTTCCAACCTTCCCTCTAGACTGGAGAGCTTGATTTTTCATAATCTTTCCTCAAGTCTTTACACAGACTCTATTCTTGTTACTCTCCTCAGTGACAGCACCCCCCACTCCCACAAACACAAAACCTTTGCCTTTTGGCTTATCATGCTATGGTAATATTACAAGGACATTGCATGTGGTATAAGAACTCACAATACACAATTAGTAAAGAAATTATGGAGTGCATATCTTTGAAATTGCGTTAATGGAATCATCCCTGCTTTTGTTAATCCTCATAGTTATTTGTTGAATGTACATGACAATATTTAAAAGCTGATTAAAACGTCATATGTGGGGATCACCAGTTAGGGAATCACAGGAACACCATCCTTTATTGATATAAACATTAATAATTAATATTAGAATTATGCCAAACATTTTGACATGGGAAATTGTGATGAAATTTCAATGGCCAGGAACAAAATCAAAGGTTTATGGCATTTATTGAACTAATGGAATCGGAGACTTGAAAACTATGAATTCCAAATTTCTAAACTATGACAATCAATTCCCTTTACCAATTCCATAGAAAAATAACAAATACACATTCATGATGATTGTCGTAGTCAATTGGATAAAACTCTGCTTTATACAGGTGTGATATCATGTAATGTTCAAAGGGTTATCTACTAATATACTACTGTTCAAGACTATTGTGAAGTAAGCACAGCTTATATAAATGGCTATTTAATCAGCAACTTTGCAAATTAAAATATTTTTCAAGTTGGATATTAGAAGCAAGCCAGAAGGACCCACATTTGGTTACTGTTTCACACATGTAATGAAATGCCATGTCCAAAGGGTGACATCTACGTGCACTGACATATCCTCTTTGATATATTTATAGTCATGTCAATCACAATTTGTGTAAAACTTACAGGCTGCACGAAATGGAAGTCCTAGTTTTCCCTGGATGCTGTTGACTAACACAATCTGGCCACAATGTCTGGAGATCATCGAGGGAAGAAGCTCTATGAAGGTAAGGAAGATTTTGTTTACGTAACTAAAAATCTATTTATTTTTGGTACAGAACTTAAACGCTGTTAAAAAAAAGACATCAAGCTTTTTGTCTTGCACACGTCAGGATTGAAATGTAAGAATACCAAATTCAGAAAGGGAGGCATTGGTCTAGTGGTATTGTCACTGGACTGTTAATCCAGAGACCCAGATAACAATCTGGGGACCCAGGTTTGAATCCCATCATGGCAGATGGTGGAATTTGAGTTCAATAAAAATCTGCAATTAAGAGTCTAATGATGACCGTGAATCCATTGTCGATTGTCAGGAAAAGTCCATCTGGTTTACTAATGTCCTTTAGGGAAAGAAACTGCCTTCCTTACCTGGTCTGGCGTACATATGACTCCAGACCCATAGCAATGTGGTTAACTCTTAACTGCCATCTGGGCAATTAGGGTTTGGCAATAAATGCTGCCTAGCCAGCAACACCCTCATCCTGTGAATGAATGAATGAAAAGAAAAATTTCAACAGCATTTGGAGAGGGTGCTGATTGGCTGGACAATGGTTTGCCTGGAGATGCAACAGGAACTGTGAACTATCAATCTTTGTTAACTGATGAAATTCAAACTAGGCACCTCCATCCAATTCAGAGTCCAACCAATCAGCACACTTATGTTGTAAAAATTGCTGTACCTTGCTGTACCTGTCTGATGATTGCAGGATTTGCAGGATGAAAAGCTTTGACTCCATAATCTTTTTAACAATATTTAAAAATCTGAACTGAAATGATTACAAACTCAATATGATATTGAACACTGAAAATTTTAAACATTGAATTATTTAAATTTGAGTTGATTTCCTGAAGATTCAGCTTCTCTTCAGGATTGCAGAATATTTAATTACTACTTATCTTTTCATAGTGCAAACTACCATCTTGTTCTAACCCAGTAGTCTCAATTATACCATTGTTAATTTTGCCAATTTCACCCTTAAATGTCAACTTGAGTAAGTCATTCTCTTATTTTCTATATCCATGGGATCAACTACTGAAGCATGAAATTCAAATTTTCAGCATATGCAATTTTTAACAGAGAAGCATATGAAATAGGGACTAGAGGAAACCAAAATGTCCTTTGACCGTGTTATATTATTTAATAACACCTTGTCTAATTTCCACCTAAATTCTAATTGCTGTCAGATTCCTATAACCTTTGATTCCCAACATCTAAAAATCTGTACTCCAGGCATGGTCACACCAAGGCATTACATAATTATGGCAAGAGCTATTTATTCTCATTTTCAACTACTTCGTAAGAAATGTTAATATATCATGTGTCTTCCAAAATATTTGCTATACCTGCATGTTAACTTTCTGTAATTTAGAATCCCTACAGTATGGAAGCAGGCCATTCAGCCCATCAAATCCACAGCAACCCTCTGAACAGCATCCCATCCAGACCCACCCCGACTCACCCCCTACCCAATCCCTCTATCCCTGAATTTACCATGGCTAATTACCTAACCTGCACATCCCTGGATTGTTGAAGGAAACCAGAGCACCCGGAGGAAACCCACACAGACACAGATAGGATGTGCAAACTCCACATAGACAGTCAGCCGTGGCTGGAATTGAACCTGGGTCCCTGGCACTGTGACGCAGCAGTGCTCACCACTGAACCACCCCACAATGTTTTATTGATCATTCGTCTTTTAAATCCAGATTTATTTATTGGAATGAGTTCTACCTTATACTCTGGTGGGATTTGAACCCAAGAATCTGGGTGTCTAGCTTTCTAGTCCAGTGACAATATTAACACTCCATTGCCTGCTGTATAAAGACACCCTCATCCCTCTGAATATCAACATTTCACAGTGTTTTACTGTTCAAAAATATTTTGCGTTTTTGCATTTTGTACCTCAGAAAATAGAAGCAGGAGTAGGTTACTTGGCCCTTCAAACCTGCTCTGCTCTTCAGTATAACTATGGCTGGTCATCCAGCTCCGTACCCTGTTCTCATTTTCCCCCCAAACTCTTTGGTCCCTTTAGCCTTACGAGCGATATCTGACTTCTTCTTGAAAACCGTATGTTTTGCCTTCAATCGGTTTCTATGGAAGAGAATTCCACAGGCTCGCCACTCTCTGGGTGAAGAAATTTCACCTCATATCAGCACCAAAGTGTATAACAACTCAATTCCTCACATTATATTCTATCTGCCACAATCTTGTCAATCATTAAACTTTTTTAACAGCCTTTTTGCATTCTCCTCATAGCTTACTTTCCACCTTCATTTATATGGTCAGAAAACAAACTCCTCACTTAAGCCATTGATTTACACTGTAAGTAGCTGAGACCCAGGTACTGAACTTTGGATCCATATTTATGCAACCCACTAGTCGCATACAGCCAACCTGAAAAGAGTCTGTTTATTCCCAATCTCTGTTTTAGTCTGTTAATCAATCCTCAATGCATGCTCATACATTAACCAATTCCATGAGTCCTAACTGTACATACAAACTGTAACCTAACCTAACCTAACTGTAACGTCTTGTGTGGTAACTTATCAAATGCCCCTATATATTCAAGACAGAAATTGAGGAATTTTTGGTCACTAAGGGAATCAGAGAATTTACAGATAGAGTAACTGTGTGGAATTTAAGCAAAGATTCAGCGATGACCGTTTTGAAAAGCTGAGCAGCTTGCTGGACCATGGTCATGTTTCTTATGTTCTTAAGTAACCTTGATTGTTGTACTGATTGCCATCTTCAAGGGTTACATAGATAACCATAGAACATAGAAGAGTACAGCTCAGAAATAGGCCCTTTGGCCCACCATGATGTCATTCCAAACTAATCCCAGGTTGACCCGTTTGTGATATCCCTACTATGTCATAATTTATTTCTGCTTCAAAAACCTATGGTATGGGTGCCTCATTCCTAATCACAATCATGTAACTATGCTTATTATCAATCTCCTTTTCTAGCCCTGAGTCCCTATATGTTACCAGGAACTATTTCCAGCATTTATCTCTGAACTACCATGTCCATGTTCAGCTGTAATTCATCATGCATTGTGATCAGAATTGTTTGGTATTCTCACTGTCATCCACCTTCACATCAAGTTTAAACAATTCTCAAAGTTATGTCAACCTTCCATTCATTTCTCATGGCACCCGCCCTTTATTTGCTGCAATGCATTTCAAATATATGACTTTTCTGTCCCAAAAATAGTGGCAGTTTCTTAGCAAAGTTAACTGTGCTCTCAAGTCCAAAATTTTAAGTATTTATTTTGTTATGTCTTAAAGACCTTGCTTATCCCTCTGACAGTTAGACTATTTGTTACCTTTAGTCAGAGAAATTGGTCCAAAGTAGTTTGCATCCATTATCTTCTTGTCCATTTCTAAAGTGACATTGAGAGCACCTCCTTTAACTTTCAGACTGCTGTTGTTAATTAACACATCCACACAACCGTAGGATTCAAGAATTTCCTTCGCTACTTCAGGAACATTCTCAGTTTCACTGAGGTCCAGAAGCATAAGCTTTGGACTGAATGTCTACAAAAAAAATCCACAGTAAGTCTTCATAAATATAGATCCGAAAAAGTGGCAGTTTTTTTTTAATTTCTTCAATTAAAAGGAATTCAATGTAAAAATATTGTAAAATACAAAACATACGAGGAGATTTGTGTTCCATTTTAGAGCTTTGTCAGAAAGAATGAACTACTACAGCCAGCGCTGTCTGGTAAATCTAGTTATATCTGATTAAATTTATATTTTATTCCCTTTTTAAATTTTTTGTTTCTTCTCCTTCGATCGTTGAATTACAGGTCTTATTCCCACATAGTCAGAAATGCAGTCTGGAAACCTCACAAACCCACCGCCTAAAGGACAAGGACAACTGGTGTATAGGAGCCATTTCTGACCTGGACATCTATCACTATTCCTGCTTAATCACAGAGTCACAATGCGAGAACTCCTTACTCAACAAGCATGGTGGGAGTTCCTTCACCACACAGATTCCCAGCAGTACTAAAGGAATGCTCTCCTCCACCTTGTAAAAGGGCTAAAGAAATGAGTGATAAATGTTCATGATACCAATAGCCTGAGAATTTTCTTTCTCTTTTAGAGTACTAACACACATGTTGATTTAGCAACCTCATTCAAAGGCACAGTATTTAATTTAAAGTCAGGAGGATAAGACTTTTCAATTTTTAGATCTCTCCTCCTGTTGTGTAAATCATATTCTTCAGATCATCTGTTATGTTTTCTTTGACACTGTCATAGATATTGAACCCAAAACTAACAAAAATTACTCCTTTAAGGAATAGCCCAAATCAGAAGAACCTGGCATTTGAACATGATTGAGGTTGCATAATTAGGTAAATGAAATCATATTTTCTTTCAGTCTTGTAGAGTTTTGTATTTTAATGCTATCACTCCTGTTTACATGGATCAATAAAATAGCCAGTCATACAATCGCAATATTGAATGCACAGGTTCACCATGCTTAATAGTCTTGATGATGTATGGTGAAAAGGGACAAGAGCAAGTTATATTACTTTCATTCTCATCTCCATAAATAAATCTGTCAGAAAGAAATATATTTTTAAAAACAATACTCACACAACTGGGGTCTGCAACATCAATTAGAGCCTGTTGCAGGGCTTCTAATTTTTCCCAGTCATTGCCACATAAAACTACTCGACCTCCTCCATTATGAAATACCCTGGAACATTCTGTTAAAAAATAAACATGAATTTGTGTTTATTTCAAGTAAACTTCTATATTTAGTTTTAGTCCAATATAAGCATCCATTTATATTTGTTGCAATGAGTTAGGGCTTTGAGTCATGTTACTGATCTATATTCTTTTAGGGGCATACATTGGCCCCTGTATGATGGAATAGACCATTGACAAATGAAAAATAGCCTTATAGAAAATGCATACATGGTGACCACCGAATTTCTGAATCATATCCGCAATGAGGCATGGAAATTGACTAATTTTTGCATGTTGTTGTTTCCTGTCTTTGTGATCAGTAGAACTGGTGTCAACATGGATCAGTTTGTAACACTTTATAACCTTTGAGTCAGGAATAAGTCCCACCCCAGAAACTGACAAAGAGGGTTAGATTTTTCAAAAATCACTGTAATCTTGCAGCAGAGACCAAAAACAAGTTTCAAACTCATGCAGGAGATGGTGGGACCCTGTAACTCTATTGTGGGGAGGATATTACCAGGGGCAACTGCTTAACAGACCACCACTGGGACCATTGCCCCAATGAAAACAGTAAGCTATCTCACAGAGCTTTTAGCCCAATTAGAGACCTGGCATCTTGGCAGCTTGGGAAATGGCACCTATAGAAGTGGTTGCTGGCAAGACTACAAGGAACAGAACTCCCTTCCTCACAGCACTGTTGGCATACCTACTTTCTTTTCCACTTTTCCATCAATGGACTGCAGCATATCAATAACCCTTTTTTAAGGGTGAGTGGGGTGGGCAATAAATGCAGGCTGACCCACTAATACTCACTTTCCCAGGAATGAATAAATAAAAAAAAACACCTCCATGTGCCAGGCTGGGGTGAACCCTCCAGCCACAGAGGCAACATTGTCTCTGGCAGGGGACCATCCTCTGTGGGCAATGGAGTTCCCAGAAAGGAAGGCCCTTCTCCTCCTCTTCCTGCCATTGCTCCACCCCCTTACCACCCCTCCAGGAGCCCACTGGGAAACGGTTTATCTGTTTGTCTCATCACATGATAAGTAGCAACATCAAGATTCACTACATTCCCAGCATTATTATAACATGGCCATGAACCAAATCATTGGCTACTCATCCCTTGCATTTCCCACTTCACGGAATATCCTGTGACGGCGGGAAGACATCAGGCTAAACTTACAATACTTACCAACAGCATTTTAAATGTCCACCAACTCACCAGCCTGTCTCGAGAGAGCTAGGAACATCTAGCCCGGATTTACAGCGTAGAAACAGATTATGCAGTCCAACCGGTCTATATAAGGATATATTCTTCATACAAGTCTGCTTCCAAATTTCCACCTAACAACATATTTGTCAATTCATTTTCCTCTCATGCCAATCTAGCTTTCCCTTAAATGCATTTGTGCTGTACATCGCAAATAATTAATAAATCTGTAACATAAAAGCTGGTGTTGATAATTGCGATCATGCAACTGTTTGCATAAACCATTCTGGTTCATTAATGTCCTTGAGGGAAGAAAATCTATTATCCTTATCTGGTCTGACCTACAAATGACTTCTGACTCAAGCAATGTTGTTGACTCTTAACTCTAGCATACCACTCCCTTCAAGGGCAATTTGTATTGGACAATAAATGCTGATCTTGCTAGCGATGCACCAGTCCCATGAAAAAAAAATGAAAACTTACAGCCCAGTTTTTGTTTTCTAATCAACCTGCTCAGAGATGTTATTACACACCTCTAGAGCAAGTGGGACTTGAACTGACACCTATTTTTGGTCTCTTCTCATATTTGAAACACCTTCATTACATGTGGACTTGTTATGTTGAATGGCCTGTTTCCACACTGTGGGGATTCTATGGTTCCTATGGTCTCCTTGACAAACCCCTCTCAGAATCATAAAGATCTTTATTGGTCACTCCTCATCCTTCCTTTCACTGGAGACCAGTTCAGCCTTTCTTGACAAATATACCCTCTCAATTCTCTTACCATTGAAGTGGATCTTTTTTCACCTTCTCCATTGCCTCTATCCTTTTTATAATACAAAAGCAGATTTGTGTAAAGATCTACAAGCATACTTGAGTGCACAATCTAGGACGATGCTTCAGTACAGTGCAGAGAGAGCGCTGCATTGTGAAAGGTGCATTCTCCACACAAAACACATTAAAAATCTCTCAGCACTTTTTGAAAAAGGGCAGGGATGCATTCTACTCCATTTTCCCCTTTCCTCATTCATCTAATCTATTATGAAATATTGACGCAGTCTCTGCTTCAATCATTATCCCTAGGAGTGTACACTGCAACCTCACAACCATCATGTGGTAAAGAGATTTTGCTGCAAAAAAATCATTTAGATATTATTACCCTTTGATTTAATCCCATAATTCCAAACCACCACCACCTCTTGAAAATGAAGAAAGGTGCATTTATACAACAGAGTTTGCAGTACAATTTACTTTGCTGTTTAAATCAGTATCCTTCATTCACAGAATGTCACAGGTTGATTGCCAAGAACAGAAAGAGAGAACTTCATGCCTAAATATAGGGTTTGTGACTACCATGAAGGCATTTTGATCACCTCTATATATAGTTTTAAACCATTTATGCTGATGAAAGGCTGTGTAGCAGACTGATACCCACTTTCAGTGGCTTTGGTGATTCATTTCCAAGGGCAGTTTCCCATTTCTTTTGAATATTGTGCAGGTATGAAAATAAACTTGCACTAAGTGGACCACTAATTTATCTTTATATAGAACTAAAGCAACTTTTTTTGGAGTCAACGCATTGCCAGAATATTCAATTTCTAAAATGTAAGGAACAATAGTCAACAAAGGCATCTCCAGTCAAGAGAGACTATCAATTATGTATAGTTTAAGCATAACCACTCCACAAGCATGGGCTAAGGTGAGGAGGAATTATCACAGCTGATGCAGGAATTGAACCTATGTTGTTAGCTTTATTCTGCACTACATTCCAATCATCTAACTGACCCCAATTCCAGAATTAAAGCTCATCAACTGCTGTAATAATCTCTCTAACAATGACGACGGTCATTTAATGTGAGCCTTTACAGCATGACACTGTACATTTAAAAAGAAGCTGCCCTGTTTGTTTGCAAAAGTCACCAGAGGACAAGATGGCCAAATGTTCCACACACTTTTACTTCTAGGCCTGTGTTTGAATCTTGCTTAGATTGACTGAATTAAAGTCTGCACGAACTACTCATTTCACACACAAAAGAATGAAATAAATTCCTGAAAGCACCGAACACTGTAGAGGCTATTCGATCCTGACAAAATTGTGTCAATAGTACTGAAGACTTGAGCTTCAAAACTAGCCATGACACTAAGCCAAGCTGTTCCAGCAAAGCTACAACACTGGTACCTACCCTGCACCATGGGAAATTATCCAGGTATGTCCACACATCCAATATAACTAAATACTGCCTTGTCTTGATTATCAGCTGCAAGATGTAGTTGATAATGCTATAAAGTGACACTCACACAACAATAACCTGACCAGTCATGTTCAGTTCAGGTTCTTCTAAGGCCATGCAGATTCTGACCTCATAATATCCTTGGTCCAAGCATGGAAAGAATAACTGAACTCAGCAGCAAAGGTGAAAGTTCCTGCTCTTGACATTGAAGCACATTTGACCAAACCAAACTGGAGTCAATAGGAATTGGATGGAAAACTCTCCACTGCTTACAGTCATAGCTACCACAAAGAAAGATGGCTGTGATTTTGGGTCAATCATCTCACTCCCAGGGTTTTGCTTTAGGAGTTCCTCAGGTTTGTGTCCTAGACCCAGCCATCTTCAGTTGTTTCATTAATGAGCTTCCCTTCATCATAAGGTCAGAAGTAGGGTGTTTACTATGATTGCAGAATACTCAGTGTTATTCCCAACTTCTCATTCTGAATCAGTCTATGTCCATATGTACAAAACCTGGATATATCTGGGCTGATAAGTGGCAAGTAACATTCATATTACGCAAATGTCAGGCATAGGCCATCTCCAACAAGACAAAATCTAATTATTTCTCTCAACCCTTCAGTGGCATTAACATCCCTGAATTCCTCGCTACCAACATTCTGGATGTTACCATTGACCTGGAACTAAACTGGACTAAACAAGAACTAGGAATCCTGCAGCGTCTCTAATAGGATATCAAATTTCAATCAAGTTAAAAATGCATACTTCTCCAATCATTACCATCCTTCGACATGGCAGAAGTACAGAACATTTTACTGTGGTTGTATTCAATAACTTGCTTGTTTCCTCTCTGAACTCAAGTCACATATGTGACAAGCAGAGCAAAACTGGAGGCTTGTGGCACTGAGGCCATTTCAATATACACCTACTCTGGTTTGGTCAAACCTTACTGCTTAGTCATTGAGCATTATGTGGGTCAAGTACAAAAAGACGAATCTAATGGGGACGTTCACACTTTCTTACAGAACTTGTTACATTCTTCTCCAAATATAAAAGAAAATTTAATTGTTTCACGATCTATATGTGAAATTTTAACTTCCAAATTGTATTTTTGAGATGGTCAGTTGTCAATACCAATTGGAGGTTGGTTGTATGTAGTGACACATTTATTGCCAGCTTGAATTAAAAGAATTGTCCAACTGAGTTTAATGAAAAAATTCACTGATTGACTGTAGATCCCTCTATCCAGCTGTAAATTGCATCCTATATCAAATGCCTTGACTGAGACAGTGATGTGAATGGACATTCACATAGTATTAGATCAAAATTCGGTTAAATCAAAATTCAGTTAAAAACTCCCTTTGTCCTGAAATCTCCCAGCTATCCTGTCAGGACAAGACTGCTCATGCATTAGTAAGTGAAATATCCAAGGTCATGGTCAAGAACAAATTTGGGAGTGATTCTTGTTAAAGTGCCATTACTGGTAGGGTAGAAAGCTAAATAAATGAGGTAGTGCTAGGAAAATGGTGATTTTCATAGTTGGGATGGAAACAAAACAGTTTAAAAGATGTCCTGATGAAGG